AAGGAAACTCACCAGTGCTATAAAACTTATTGATCTAAAGGTTCCTAATAGCTGAAAAGCAGTTAACAAGCAATTTCCAAAAATGATTAGAAAAGGGGGTATGTGAACCCAGTGTCCTTTTGAAGGCACCAACCATGGTTTGAGCAAGATGGCTATTCCCTCATCTCCCAGAGCTCTAAACCCACTGGAGACTACTGTGTTGTGGTGTCCTTGTGAGGAGTAGTGTTACAATCGCTGCATTCAACGCTGAATAAAAACCTCATGAGACACAGGCTCGGAGGAAAGTTACTTTACTCGGGTGTAATGTGTAACGGTTACAGACAAAGCCAGGATTGGATTGGCATGTTCCTTACAGTGTTTATATGGGGTTTCCCCCTTGACCCTGCAGTACCCCTGGCTTCCGCCTCTGCCCATTCTTGGGTCGCTCTTCTGTTGTCGAGCTCCCCCTCCCTTCTCCTAATGGCAGATTCAGCCTGCTTCCTTTGTCTCTTGATCGCCATGCTCCTGGGGCTTTTCTTCTATGGGTAAAACCAGAGTTTTTTAATTGGTTGTTGATCATTGCTGGATTGCCGAGTTCCTTGAGTATTGTGGTTGCCGTTGCCTGGGGCGTTTGGGGAAGCTGGCTGTGTTACAAGGTATCTGTTTTCCCCTCTGTTCTCACCCCGGGTGAATTGCCGCCACCTGTCGGCAATTGACTTGCGGTTGCCTGTTTACCTTTCCCAGCCACCTATGCCTGAGGCGGTGAAACTGACTAGTGACGGTGAAACTGAAACAGTGCCGCTGCTTGGCCGTGCTGGGCTGAATCTGACAAGAAGCAGCTGTCTGGAGTAGTTGTGGGTGATTTCAAGTCCTCTTCTTGTCAAGAAAGGAATTATGAAGAGCTGGTCTACTCAACAGCTCTTCATTCCACTGTAGTCATTCAGTTTGCCATTTCTTCCCCAGAAGTCCCCAGTAGCACAGGATAACCTGAAGGTGGATGTGACAGCAGAGGTCCCTTCACTTTAGAGATGTGGAGATTCTATGGCTTCTTCTGGGACAGTTGATTGCGATCATTGAGTGAGTTAATTATATCTCAGAGGCTCATCCTTCTTTCTCTTTGAATGAAACCAGCATGATCACTGTCCCCAACATATTTGCTAAAGACCTTCTCCCCACTGGGATCACTCCTGGATCTTGATGGAAACTCCAAGCAGCCAGCTAGATAGGGCTCCTGGTTGAGACATAATTATATATGTGGCAGGGCTTGGTAGGGATTGGGGTATTTTCTGGGGCCCATCACTGGCAAAACACTGTAATATGACAATAGTTGTTAGAAGCTGTTACTGCTTGTTATTGTCACCTTCCCTCACAGTAAGCAGAATGGACTTGAAATGACAAAGCACCTGATAACCAATCATGTAGACCTCTGTATAACCCCCTGTCCCCCTTTCCCTCCAACCTTCCTGTCCAAATCATGCAGAGACCATCATCTTCTACAGACAGAGAAGCATGTTGACTATTTAACCAGTCAAGATTTGTATGCAGGATTCTAACCCTCTTAATAGAAAGAGAAAGGAAATATTGTAAGACTGAGTGGGGGAGGTGAGAACTTCCAGTGGCAGGGACCAAAAGACCAGGGAAAATCTAGCATGAGCTATATGACATATAAAACAAATAAAGCTTAAAAAAAAGAACCGTATCTTACTATCTGAAGTCACATTGAGAGAAGATGGTAAGGCTAGGATTAGGAATAGTTCCCCAAAAAGACTCACCCAAGGTCTATTTTGTTTTGACCAGGCAAAGCTTTCCTGATTTATTCAAACTTTTGCTTGTATTTTAGTCTGTAATGGTTTGGTTCTATGATGTTCTTGCTCTTTTTCCCTTTTTCTTACACTGCTGTCTTTTATTTTATATTTTTTTATTTTATAAATCAAATTTATATCACCGCCCAATTCCCCTACAAGGAGGGACTCTGGGCGGTTCACAACCAAACAGTTAAAACCAATAAAAACATAAATAG